GTGAGGGCGAATAAGCGAATGAGCAAACGAAAGACATCGGAAGGATCTTCATGTGCAACAACACAGCAGAATACTCTAATGCCAAAATAAACATAAAATGGCACAACGTACGCTTACAAAGTAACAAAAGGTTTAAGCATCGAAATTTATCATGAAACTATGCAGGGTGAATGAGAGAAACTTGAGACACTTCAACTCGATCGTCATGCAAATTTCAAAAACATTTGACCAACCAAAATATCGAGTGGTAGAGAGATAGAGAGAGAGTGTGTGTGTGTACCTGTTCAGTGTTCATGCCAATTTTGTGTATTTACAAAACATTTCAGCCACATTAAGTGTTGGCTGCCAAAAGTGTTATGCTAAATCCCTTAAGAGACGGGGTTTGAACTCACTTCAAACAAAAATATGGATATTTCTCTCTCCCTGTGGCAACTCGATGCTGGGACCAAGCAAAATTGCAAGTGGTTAAATTCATATGCATTTATATATTAATCTTGGGCGTCCTTTTGAATAAAATACAAGCAGGTGAGAGGTGACGAGCGAAAACTTCTTTATAAATAAAATCATTTTATCAAGAATCATAGCTTAAAAACGGAAACTAACCAATAAATTTTACTTTCTTCAGCTAAGTTAGCAATGTGCGGTCATTCCGCCACAGCTCTGCAGTCACATAATTTCCGCAAGTTTTCCGTACAGTACATCTGTTTTTAAAGTCCATTCGAAAATAAATTTTAATTAAGGCGCTTCATTATGAAGATACTTACAGTTTTAAAGTATTTTCGATTGGTTTATTTTGATACACCCAAGCTTTGTGTATGGAAAAGTGCTGAGAGGAGCAAACGAAGAAAATGAGGCGAAGCAAGGTAAGGAAAAGAATTTCATTTCAAGTGGTTGTTATTCAAATATTTCCTTTTTGGAATTGAGTGCATTTGAAGAGACTTGGACCGTTCTCCCTTTTTCTCACTCCCTCCCCACCAAATGCGGGCTGTGTCACAAAATGTCGTTTGATTGCCAATTACCCAGTACTGCTGAATCCATTAACTGATTACAGAATTCTGCTGCACTTGTAAATTGAATTATTTAAAATCAAAGTCAGTCAAGTTAGTTTGTTCGTGAGTAACATGAACAAACTTTTGAGATTTGCATAGTTGCACAGTGAGTGTGTACAAATGGAAAATCTTTGTGTTGATTGACACAGACACAAAAGAATGGCTGTTGTTGCGATAAAACCGGAACTTCCTTGCTGAAATAAATTCACCTTTCAAATATTGTGTGCGGTGTGCGTGAAAACTGTTCATGTGTGATCGAATCAAGCATTGACTACAGCAAAACTTTTGTCACAACCAACAACAGCAGCACTACCACTATCGAGAAGTAACTTTTGCAATTTCAATCGGATTACCACCCGGAATAAAACATACATCCGCACTCGCACAGTTGAGCAAAAGCTAGCTTCGTTTGCGTATACATTCGTTCGATGTGGTTCCTTTTTGATCACGGTAAACATTGGCGGAAGTTTCTTTAAGGTAAACAAGAACATAGATAGAAAGAGAGAGACAGAGAGAGAAATGCAAGCGAAAAATAAGAAACGAAAATGTGAAAATTGATAGAAAACATAAATTCCGTAACAGTTTTCTTTACTAACGAGAAACTTTTCGATTGCACATTGCATACAATCGATTTTGCTGCATGCACTAAAAGTACAAGCAATAAGCCACTTGTCCATGATCAACAGCAACAGCAAAAAAAGGAAAAGAAGAGAAGAATAATACGAATCAACCAAGCGACCGACCAAATGGTTTACGTTGCGCTTATTTCTCGTTTTAATTCGATAAGAAGTATGTGAAGTGTTATCAATGCATGCATTTCGAAATTGGCAATGCACCTCGGCGTATTATTATGGCAACGAGACACGAAGACAATGAAAAATTTATGGGCAAAAATAGCATAATACCAGCGAGCATTACGTTGAATTGCAAATTCAAAATGGCCATTCCATTCTGAGGAATCGTATCAAGTTTTAATTCGGTCAACGGCAATTCACCCTCCAAAAAAAACATGGTTTTGTTTTTGTGGTTTCAAGCACAAAGATACACACGCCATGAAAATCATATCAAATCGATTTTCGTTCTATCAAAACCAGCGACATGAACAACAACAACGGAACATCACTTCATTTTGTAAATTAACCGCATTCGATTTTTATAACGGTTGCATTGGACTATTGAAATTGCTTTTTTCGGCATATTCTCATCGCCACTCACAAATCATTTGCAATCCGCTAAAAGCATATCAATTTGGAATAATCCACCGCAGAAAAAACTCCGGCTTCATGTTGAACATATGACATTATTCGTATCTGGAGTGTGGTTTATACAAACATACACACAAGAACGGCGCATTTAACATTCATAAGCCACTTTTCATCCAGAGCATTATCAACACTTCCTTGACTCAAAATCAATGCAGGATCTATCAATAATATCGAGAGTGCACATTTCCAAGCACATCCACAAATATCATCAGTGCGCGAGCCCACATTGAGTCCTCTTCATTTTGGATGTAGTTGTGCGTGTGTGTGTGTGTGTTCGTGCTTTGCACTCATGTGAGTGTACGGCATTTGCAAAACTGTTTTTCGTTTTTCCATTTTATTGCATTGAAATACCATAAAAAGTTTAGCAAACGAAAAGCGTCTGAATAATAGAAGAGGCGTAAATGCGGGCGACTGACGCGTCAATAAGAGGGAAAAACTATAAGAAAAAGACAAATATTTGTAAATACGATGCAGTTCAATGCAAAAATGCCAGACTATTTTGTCCTGGTTGTTTTTTTCTGCCATGTTTGCTACATGTTTGTGTGTTTCTCTCTCTCCCCGTCTCTCTCTTTCTCTCTCTCTCTCTCTCTCTCTCTCTCTCTATGTGTGTGTGTGTGCACTGTGTGTTCTCCGAGTTTGGTTGTCACTTTTTGCTCTTGTCAGGTGGATACAAATGGAAAAGTTGCAGGAAAACGACACTTTTTTATCTGAATGCAATGGTAAATGTGTATGTTTTCTACACGGGTGTATACATGTGTAAACTTGTCGTTTTCACCATTTTCGGTACGACACTCGTTTTGTTATCGTTTACTTTCTTGACTTGCTTTCGCCTTCCAGTAGTTTACCACTTTTTCACGTGTCACCCTGATTTTGCACCCGTTTACCTCCTTGTGTTCGCTTTTATTGGGAGAAAACCGACGCCGTGAAAAAGTTAAATGAACTAAATTTTAAAAGATAGCAAACGGAAGAAAGTCACACAGACTCTCTCTCACTCTCTCTATCTCTCTGATAAGAAATATTATTAACGTTTCTGCATTCCATTCGACATTTCTGCCATCTTTTTTTTCGCTACATTCAGTCACACTCGGACACTCTCGAATTATATCTACTTACGGATTTTACATCATCGGATGCAAGTTTTGTGGTATTATTCCAACTTCTTTTAAGTAATCACGAGCATGAATAAAAATAGAGAAAACTTCTTTTTGTTCAATAATGACTTTTTATCGCAAATTTTCACTCTTCTCAAAGATCTTCTTAACGAACTAACCAACCTTCAAACACACTCACACACTATGTGCACGTAAAAACTTCAAGCCGATAACGAGTTCTTTTGCAAATGTCACCATTTTTAATGCTTTTAAATTTGACCGAAAATCACAATTTTTCAAGAGTATAATCAGCGTTCTTGTGGTGGATTAAAATAAAGTCGAAAGGATAGAGAAAAATGAAAAATCGAAGATTTTTGTTTCGTTTATTCAGATTGCGCCATGGGAAATGTTCATTGTAATTACGGGCTGTATGAAATGTACTTATCTTCTTCAAGTGAATTTGAATTAAAATTGGGATTATTGTCAATTTTGCTCGACTCGGTAACATTGATATTTTCTGTTATAATCCTTCCTCTATACAGTAATTTTTTTTTTATTCATTTGTAAAACAACGTGGCCCATTCGCTATTCATTTATCAGTTGAATATCGAGAAAAATGATAAAATCATCCGCAGTCAATGGTTTCAATAAAAGAATTATACAAATACACGCGAAAATATTCGTTGTATTACTGAAGAATTTCTACGTCTTTTTTCATCCACTTGAGTGAAATGCTTTCTACCAATTCTTCATTGAAAAACACAAACGAAATCCATTGTTCAATCATTCAATTGGATTGAAATAGATTCGAATTTCCTCATCGATCCGCGGACGCATTTGAATCGATCAAAGTAACAGAACAAACATCAAATTGATTGGGCGCATTAAACGAAGTTATTGAATGATTTCGTAGAATGTTCATGATTCATAAAATAAACCACTTAAAATGCGTTTGAGCAACAGATTTCCGTATAATAATCATTCGCTATCTATTTACTTGTTGGCAAGTGTGAATGGTGTGAGCACGTGTAAAATGGTTGTGCACGTTTAATTCATGGAAACAGATTAGTAGCCATATTTTGTGCGAGTGTATTGAAACAAACGGGCCAAGAGAAAGAGCGAATGTAATCCGATTCGGTGTTGAGTTCTGGCGGAAACTTTGTCCATTCATAATACCAAAGAATATGAATAATATTTGCTCGTTGAATGATGTATCACAAGGAGAATAATAAATAAAACACAAAGGAATAACTCATGATACTCATGAATTGTAGTCCAAGTTTTGTAATTTCGCTCTCCATTTCTCTCTCTCTCTCTCTCTCTCTCTCTCTCTCTGTCTTCGCTTTGCTTCGGTATGAGTAGCACAAGTACCAGCGGTAATCTCATCCCTAAATCTTAATTGGGCTCATTGTATGAAATAATTATGCAAAATTAATGAACTTTTAATGAATGGCAAACAAATGAAAAGTGGTTTTGCTTTTGGTTTTCTCTATTGTTTACTCATCTCTTTCGCTCTCTATGTTGTCCGACCGAAGTAAAAGTGTGACGCCTGGATTCGGGTTAAAACCAGTCAGAATACAGAACAGCAGCCGGAATTCTGGGACAAACATGTTTTTTATTTGCTTTGAAAAAATGTATATTGTATATATAGGTTCCATGCAAACAATTACAATGTTCTTATACGTGTATAAATAGCCATAACGCTGTATTTTATTCATAAGAAGAGTGCTTTATCGACTCAAGTCCATGGAATGGCATTCTTGGAACGAATTACGGGTTGCGAGCGAGCGAGCGATGCATTTTCTTTGGTTCGGATTATTTTAGTGGGCCAACGCATTGTTTGCAATCGTCCATATCCTGCTGGAAGCGTTCAATTTGTAGCGTTGTTTCGAAAAATTCGTATTTCTTCTGGATGGCCGCATTGGCTCTCTTCAAAACATCTTCCGGATCGGCTTCTGGAGCTGAAATTGTAACAATAGAGAGAACAGAACGTTAGTTTGATGTGTGCCGCTCATATTTCATACGTTCGAATTTCTCCGAAGTCCATTGTAAATTGTGAATTGAATCCGGGCCATCGCGAGCATTTTTAGCCCAACCCAACTACAAATACGGTGAAAATCTAATTACCGATTGCTAAGTGAGCTGATAGTGCATTTTTGTTGATGCTCAAACTCCATAATCGTAAATTATGTACACGAACTACTCCGTTGACTTGCATAAAGATCCCCATTATATCAGTGTAATCTAAAAATGTAGGCGTTGCCTCCATGAGTACCTGTGCAAATAGGTGTAATGAATAGAATAGCGTTCGTTCAGTAATTCAGTTGTGTGATGGTGGTAGAGAGAGAGAGAGAGGAAGGTAGGGAGAAAGAGAGCAAGAATGGAAACGACTAACGGCAAAGGTTAACAACGAGAAAATGTGCACAACATTAAACACAACGGACAACAATACAATACAACGACGACGATGATAGCAGCAACAGCAGCTACAACATACAGCGCAACAACAGGTGTAATAACAATTAATTTGCTGGTTATTTTCTCTTAATATCCTCTTGCGCTGCGCTCTATATTCTTTTCTTCGGTGCCCGGTGCCACCATTTTCCATTCGGCAAACTTTCTTGCGCAATTGTATGGCGAACAAGAGAGAAAGAGAGAGAGAGAGAGAGAGAGAGAGAGAGAGTATGTACGAAACCGAAGGGGGCCAGTTTGTGTGCATTAGTTTAACGGTTTCGCACAACGGGTGAAAGAAGAGACGGAAAACGACAGCAAAGAAAATGAAGAGATAAGGCCATTCAGACATTAACGCTGTATTCTAATTGTTGCACTGAATGAGGTAACTTGAGCAAAAACCAAGTCGCGCTCACTCTCTCTCTCTCTCTCTCTCTCTCTCTCTCTCTCTGCGTGTGCAATTGCACAGTTTTGCGGTAGCACAAAACGAAAGACCGTATTACCGGGATTAAAAGCCAAAATGCGGAAAAACATTGACTCGTTCTCTTTGTATCCTTTTCACACACTCTCTCTCGCTTTCTCTATCTTCCTCTCGTCCAATACATCTAGATACACTAGTCTTACCAGTATCGCATCCTTCAATATGGTTATCGTTGTCCAGAGTACAATTACTGAGAAGATAAATGTGCAAATTGGATCGGCGAGTTGCCATGTTGGCTTGAAATAAATGATAATGGCCGCAAAAAAAACACCAATACTTTGTAGAACATCACCCAGCACATGTATAAAAGCAGCACGCACATTAATATTTTCCGTATGACCATGTCCGCCACCGCTACCGCCTCCATGTGAATGTCCATGCGTTCCATGTAGCTGCCATCCCATGCTGAAAAGTAGTATGTGAAAATGAAATGAAAACAACATCAACCATTTTTGAGCTCTTGCCCTCTCCGTCTCAAATGGGATTCGGAAGAGATAAAGCTAAAGTTTGTAACAAGATGACGAAACGATGATTCATGGTGTACGAAGAAAATGAAGCAACATGGAAAACAACGAGCATTAGACTCACACTCACACACACACACACAACATCACGACGACACGAAATCAAGCCAAGTCGAACAAACACCTCACGATTTATGTGAGTTTATCTTTGGCAGTGTCTGCGTAGTTTGTGAAGTTTCTAATAAATTGCGCCTAATAATCTGTATATTTTATTCCCGGCCAAATGGATGGGAGGAGGCTACGCCGACCGAGAGGATTTTTCGGAGGCGATACGTCAGTTGCGTAGTCGGTTTAAAATTACGGTTGTGATTTCCCTCACTCTCTTCCTCTCTCATCCATTCATTCATTCATTCGCATCGGCAATATTTTTCTTTTTCCTTATATTAATACAACACCCTCTTGCAATTTACGTAAGTAAAATAAATCGAAAGGGAAACATGAGTAAAAGTTTTCATGCCGAAAATTAATTGCAGATGTCAAAGAACACACTATTCTTGTAACACCGTCTTCACACACACTCCCATCCCGCTCTCACTCTCAACAAAGATACTTCAAGTGGTTCGGCTGATAAACCCTTTTTTGTCTTTCCAACACAGACGCTTCTTCAAAAACTTCGTCTTACCAAACTCAGTATGTGTGTGTGTGTGTGTTTTGCCATCGTCGTCGTCGTCTTCGCCGCAGTCATCATTCTCTGACACATGTAGCGTATCGAGTGTATTTTATGCATATCACCAATTTTATAGCTTCTACTGCTACTGTTCAACTTACACAATATTCACGAAAATCGCAACGGCTGACGTTATCAGCATAATCGGTGCGTCAACCTCAAAATCACGCGTGATACATCGCAAAATTGCCCAATAAACCAGAATGGCTGTTATAACCCAAATCATTAAGACTGACACAATCGCACCGAGCACCTCAGCACGATACCATCCAAAACTCATCCTGTACAGAAAAAGCAAAGTAGAAGAAGAAAAAACACACACACATAAATCGTCATTTGTCAACCATTCGAACAGAGCTGAAACCAAAAAATGTCAACCGAAGTTGTCAAAAGTGTCAAGAACTATACTTACTTGCGTGTTGATGGTCGGCCAGCAAACCAAATGGCAAATAATGATATCATAAAACTGGCAAAATCTGTAAGTAAATGAGCAGCATCGGTTGCGATGGCCAGCGAATTGGAATAAATGCCACCAACAACTTCTAGCATCATAAATACCAAACACAAAATACTGGCTATAATGAGCTTCTTTCGGGCATGCACATCCATACCTTCGCTGCGCTCGATATCGGTGTGACAATGCTCTGAAATGCAAGCAACTTGTGTAGTAAAATTTTATGTGATTAAAATTTACGATTTCTTGATGCAGCCACCACAATCGCATCACCACTCACTTTCGATCTGAGTGAGCTCCAGTATTTGTTCATTGCAGCAATTCTTTGATAAACGACCGTGCAAACAATAAACTATGGTTGGCGAATCACTTGGTGTCGTTGCGCCGTACGATTTATTGTCATAAGAGCTGGAGATGAAAATATGAAACAAAGAAAAAAATTGAATTAATTGACAAGAAATTGGAAACAGTTTTTGATTAAAAACTTGAAAACGAAAATTTTCATCTTCAAATTGCTCGAACGATACACAAAAATAGAATGTGAGAGCGAGAGAAGAGAAGAAAGAGAAATTGCGTTTACTTCGAGCCATTTATCAAAGTTGGTTCGATTGCAGTCTCAATTCGTTCTGGTTGATCGCTCATTTTTAATTGATTTCATCGGGAACGGTGCGATGAGAGTGGAAAAACTATTTTTCTGTTAGCCACAATGAAATGTTCAAGTGCGCCAAGGGAGAGTGAGAGAGAGTATTCAATATCACACCATTAACCCATTTGATAGCAACATTGAGCACACACTTTTTTACGTTGCACCAACCATCGCCGTATCAATATTGCGGTCAAGTAAAAATAGTAAAACAAAACGAAACGAACAAAAATAATCGGCAGCAGCAGTAGCAGCAATAGAACACTCGCAAAAACACTACACAGTAAACTAATACCTTTTATTCCCGGCGTTTTATGTTTTCGATAACAAAATGCGCAACTGAAATCAGAACCGAGAAGAAGAAGAAGTTGGACTTTTGTTTCTGTGATTTTTTGCTGCAGGTTTTTTGCCAGCTCTCTGGGCGCCCGGCCGGGGTCTGTCTCTCTCTCTCTCTCTCTCCTTTGTTTGTATTTTATTGTTTGATAGCAATTTTGTTGCACAAGTGGAACTATAGTATCGCAACAGATATTGATTGCAGTGTGTGTGATTCATTGGCCGACTGCAAAATTTATTAAATAGAAAATGGATTCGTTTTTGCGCAATTCCAATGTCGACACACTTGTCGACAGTCAATGCACATTCGGTCGATTAGTCGAGTTTGGCCCTCCGAAACTTCGGCTATGAGTCAGTATCAATTGCACTAATGCGGGCAAAAGTGTGACCATCGAATTTGCGTTTACTTTGACATCACAGCCAATAGCTGGTTTCATATCATCTCTTGAGGTGGAACAATTCGAATTCGAATGATCGAATGAAAATGAAAGAGCAGAATTTCGATGAACGATTTGTCGATTTCAATGATTTTAGTTTCATTGAATTCATCTAAAATATGAGGTCAATTTGGAAGTAATATTTTCTCGAACGAGAACAATTTCATCATATTGGTGGTTGTTGTAAATTTCTTCGAAATGTCGGTAATGTATTCGAATTCATAAATTTCAAGTGGCTATTCAATTCTTGTAAACAGCGTCTCTGTGTACGTTTCCAATCCACTTGAGAAACAATTCAGTGCAAAGTTTGCAGCTAAATTGATAAGCTATTCTCTTCTTAGAATATCTATATCAAAATAATTCGATAATTGCAAACAAGGTATTTAACCGCTTTATCGTTATCTCGGTCGTGTCTCTATTGCCCCACACAAAACCGATTTAATTTCCTGATTCAGTGGTCTGAAAATGAACGGAGCAAGTGTGTATGATTTGAAAATTAAAGAAACCAACACTGGTGGATATTCTGATTTCCGGTTGGTCAACTTGAACCAAAGGGAATCAAAGGGCTATGTATCGATGCCAATGAACGTCGTCATGTCTTTATAATAGAAGCTATCTGAGTTGTAACTTGTGACTTGACCAGGGCACCGATCAATCGATAAAAAGCAATAAGTGCATCCATCAATTATGTCATGCTGCTGCTGCATTGGTGTGTGTATTCTCGATTGCGTAAAAGATGTATATCGTTCAATGGGAAATGCAATTTGATCAATTTCGGATGGGTTTGATGTGCGAAACAGGCAATTAAATCTCGACGATTAAATTATCCGTTTACATTGAATGCACACCTCTTAGCCTAACATTTCATCGCTGATACACAATGAGTGGTACTCACAACATCGTTTCGATGTATATACAGCAACTTTCGGCTATGATAGTTAGCAAGTAATAATACGCTAAATGGAATAATTATCAAGTTTGTGCAAGATATACATTGGATCGGATTTTGGTTTCTCATTATCTCAATGAAAACTTTTTCATTTTATCTCTCTTTCTTTTTATCTCTGGGAGCACGGAACGGATCGTTCAAAACTCCATTACGGTTGGTTTTCATAATGAGAGGAAAAGAGAGAGAGGTGGAGAGACAGAGAGAGAATGAATTGCGTGACATTGAATGATTACTCGGAAATGTGCCCGTATGTGTTTATGCGCGCGCGTTCGTTTGAATAAAAACAACTAATGAAAATTGATTCAGGGTTGCAATGTTTTTCAGATAAACCACTTAAATCAATTACGGTCGAATGTCGATACAACAAAATATAAAAAAATATTCTAAAGTTTACAAAATATTTGCGAGCGAGAAAAAATCCGTATTATTACCACTGGCCACAATGAGTAGGTGCGCGCAAGTCTGTGTACTGTTTTGTTGTTGTCATGCATTTTGAATGAACGGAGATGAAAAAAAAATTGGTTGGCCAAAAATGGAAGAAATATCGATTCGATATGTCTGCAGTTTGCATACAATCAATTAATATGGAATGTAAACATTGAATTTCCATTTCATGTCCATCAATTACACACACACACACACACACACACACACACACACACACACACACACCAGCAGTGAGTGTGCACAGAGTAACCAGAACCAATTGCAAAATTGACCGATAAACATTTTTTGTGCTATTGCTATTGGCATTGTTGTTATTGTTGTTGTATGCTTTCGTTCCCCGCAAAATAGTAACAATCAAACATCAATAATTGCGAATTGTTGCCTCGAAATGACCCAATAGCAGTGCCAAATAAATTGAAATGTATTCACTGAATGCAGAGGGAAAAACTGTATGAAAAAAAGAGAATCAGATGAAATTGATAATGTGAACGACGAATGGAATGACAAAGGCAGAGAATAATTGAGTGAGAAACATTTAACGGTGCAAAAAATAATAATAAATCAAAACCAAAGAGTGATAATAGTTTCGCTAATAACGATAAAGATCTATTAAGTGCTAATTTCCAGAGATAAGGAAATAATGGCACGACGGTTTTTTTCTGCACTGAAAAACGTTTTCTGTGGGTTATTCACGGTGTTGTCACGTTCCAAGTGAAACAACAACACCGTTGCTTCAGAACGGCGATTTTTAAAAATATTCCTTTGTTTTTGCAACAAAAATTGTGCTATCTCATTTTATCACCGACTGACGATGTCATTTGTGTATAAAATTTCCTCATTTTCAATACTCGTAACCGTTAATGTACGTCAATAAATAAATAAAAGCCTACATTGATCGATCATTTGTAGTGCAGTTGGTTTTTTTTACATCTCAACAATGTACGAAATTGGTCGATAATACAATTTACATCAATTTTAAATCATTTTCATGCTTGCGTTGTTTGAATGAAAATGTTATATCCGACAATTCTGCAAGAAACAGTCATTTTATGTATCGAAAACTCTCATCTTTTACTATGTGAATGTTTTTGAATGATTCTTCATCCTTCATTATAATTTTGATAAGTATCCGCCGTTCATCGATGTCTCATCGCAAATGTCTTTACTGCTTACGTTTGAAATTTCGGCACCACCATAATTGACTGAAGGCGCTGCACGTGGTCTTTTGATACGGTTTCGATTTAAATTCATGAATATCTTGTTGTTAACGTTTACGCCGAAATCTTAATTATGATAAACCGTGATTTTTTCCTCTTCATAACAAGCGTCATGTGGTTTGCACTGATACGAGGCTTGTTTCGTATTCGGATGACAAAATACATACATGTGTTTGCACGCAGCCACAACGAAACTGTACGTTGTTGAGAAATCGCAATTCGAGAATAATCTACTCATCATTTACTTACAATATAATGGGCGAAGCGGCACTTTCAGTAGCCATTTTTATGTGTTGCCTTTTTTGGGATTTCCTCGTCGACTTTTAAGTAATAATTTTAATTCCAAATTATACTCTAATTAATGCAATCACTAGCTTGTTTCTTTTAAGCCTCATAAAGTTTTCGCTTCGTCGAAAATTTCTTTCATTCGGCGATGACAGTTTATTAAAATTGAATGGATTTCTACGAACAAATTACAAACACAACCCGATTCACTCGCTGCCGTTGAGCAACGTTGTGCACTATAAACTTTTGAACAAACGAGAATTTTCAATTTTCAAACAAATGCGAGTATAATCAATTGTGTCACATTTTATTGGAACACAAACTTTATTTAATCACTAAATAAATACACTGGGTGAAAGAGAGAAAAAAATGCGTGCAACAACAAGATCACAGTAACGCTTGTCGTGTGCTCAAACTGAACTGAACGGCAATTTCCTTGCTCGCAACTCATTATTCATCGCACCGCACACAGACGACGGTTTTTAAATCAGTTTTTTTTCTCGTCAAATTTATCTTTCACCGTTGATAATGGAGTCGGTGAGAGTGCGTTTCCCTCGGTGCTATGTCACAAACACAATGACAGAACATTATGACTAAACGAATGGCTTTTCATCATCGTTTGCTTGTGTTTTCAATTGACTTTTTGATACAATATTCTTCTTTATTCATTGCCGTTGGTGTGTTGCGATGGATTTTTAGTTTGTGTCACCAATAATCTCTAGAATAATCTACAGTCTGGGTTATGATATGGTTTTACTAGAATACACAGAGAAAAAACGATTGTCTGAGCAGCTCTCTTCTAACACTCTCTCTCTCTCTCTCTAGCTTTCTCGCTGTCTCTCTCTCTTTCACTCTTCTTTCTCTTGCACTCTCTCTCCTTCTCTCTGTTTGTCATTACACTCAAAATTACGCTTGCAAATAAAATCACAACATCTATGCGGACCGCCACCGATTGGCACAACATCAATTTTTTTTTCTCGTTAAGTAGCACTCGAGATAATGGTAATGAAGTCAGCCGCATAAATCGTTCGGATACAAACGACAATCGTTTTTGCATGTCAAAGCAATCTGCTGATTGCTGCTGGCAAATTGAATGCATGCGCCTGAAATATATATGCTTTCATTGACATGTTAATTGAAATGCACCGGCATAAAATGAATACAAATGGATAAAAAAAAGAAATTGACGAACAAAAAATGCACATTTCATTGGAACAAACAAAAATTTAAATAAAAAAAAATGTTCTCTTTGTAAAAACAAAATTTTCACTGAAATTCGCTGTGAACCAAATAAAGCAATTCTTTGGGAAAAAAAAATCCATCATCACTGAATCACCGAAAAATAAAATCCGTTGAAAAAAAGCCGCAATAAAATCAATATCGAAACTAACCCGTCCTTAGTTTCCATATTATCCGAATTCCTTCCGAGTATACTTTGACAACTAGAATTTTGGGACCGTTTCACACCAGCCAATAATTTGGCGCGATTTAAAAAATATTAATATCCAAGTGTATACAAGTGAATGTTTCATTCACAATTGATGGAATGCTTTGAATATCCCAATAAAACACTGTTCTGTGTCTGGCTGTTCAGTGCTTACTTGTCCACAGCTACATAGCTAATGCGACGATTTTTAAATGTAAACAGATATTTTAGATGATTTTTTTTCCCTGTTTTCTTCTGTTTCTCTCTTCGTATTGTTGAACAACGCATTTCAGCAAATAGCTGCCGCATTTTTTCTACCGCATAGCGCCCTACAAATGACTACTACACAAATGAACCACACATACATGGAGATTGTGACAAATGGAATGCAAAAAAAAAAATTGTGAGAGAAGATAAATTGTATACAGAGAGCGAGCAAGCGAGAGAGAGTTTTTAATTGACTTGTTTGCATTTGTACGCATCAAATATACATGTGTAGATATGAATCCGAGCATTTTGAATTAAAACGTACGTGTGTTAGTGGTGGTGCTCGCAGTAACTTTTCATGCAAGTTAATTGAATTATATGGTAACGATATGACAATAATTATCTGTCATTTGAATGTAACTTAATTGCTCATCCCCCGTTCGATTTACGGCCATGGATGCTGTTGAATACAAAACTTACTATGCGATGGTGCTTTAAATTAATCCAGAAATTGGATTGCATCGCACAGACACATGTACACATGCAACCGGCGGCCACAAATACAACACGGAACTGATTTTATTTTCAGTACGTTTGTAATTCAACCATATCTTGCTTTGTTTTGTGATTGCACGTGTATATTATGATCAAACCGGCTTAATATTTCAACTAAATTATTTTGACTCGATGTGGGGTTCCAAAATGCCCGTGATGCCATTTATTTAATATATTATTATCAATACATTAAATTTCACATGGATAAATAGAATAGAACCAACGTTTTCGATGAATCGCTTCGATTCCCGCTTTAGACGACAAAGCTGTTGTGATTGTGTGGCAATTTGACGTCGTCATCGTCTTTGGATCAATTTGAATTGATATAAAGTTTCTTGCACCTCACCGAGTTTAATTGTGAGGTTTTATTCCATTGTAAAAGGTTTACTAGTCTGCATTTTTAGCGCAATAAACGAGCATGGCAATGATTTATTCAAAATAACATTGACATAACCGCAATCACAATTTCGAATGAGATAAACAACGTTTATTAAACATTCATTTTTGTAAGATTTTGCTGGAGAAATCAGTGCTTGACAGGCATTTGATGCAGGTAGAATTGTATATCCGCTGTAGCTGATTTTTGACTGACAAATGACAACATCACAAAATTCTAGATTTTTTTCTATCAATTATTTTAGAGAATAAGAGATTCACTACTTGGAACAGAGAAAAATAAATCGAAAGACTAGATTCCAAAAGTATTCCCCCATATTTATAACATACTACAACTTATTCTATATGTTTCATTGTCATTTTTTTACCTTATTTCAAAACAAAAATTGGTTGACCTTGAAATAAGACACGTTTACCCGCGCAATACTTTTGCGTGGTGCATACCAATCAAGTCAACGAATACAAGTTGATTTATTATGATAGATTCAAAAAAAAAATGTCTGGCTAATCAAAAATATCATAGTCTGCTCTACTTAAGTAAACAACTCATCTTGTTTCAGAATGAAAAACAGTACATTGTTTTCTTTGCAGTTTTTTGTCCTGCAGAAAAATGAATCAATTTACAGTTACCGCTCATGTTCCATGTAATATAGCATTTTAGCACCCTAAGTAATGACTCTTCCAATTGAATAAAGCATTTTTGTAATTTTTGATATTAATTTCCCATTGTCATGAAATACGAATGTGTTTAGTATAAACGACACACAATCTGTATATTTTATACCATATATATGCAGCCTGAAAAACGCACATTCCTAGATTACAACGGTAATAAATTACATCGCCAACCAATAATGATAAAAAAGCAGAAAAAATGTTTTCATAAATATGACTGTCTGGCAACAGTTTTTGACCCGGTTGAAAGTTTGAAAAAATTATTACGCGTGTTGAATTTGGATACATGTACTCGATTGGATCGAATAAAATACGTTTAAAATTCGACGTTTCACTTTTATCTCTTTACAAGAACTCTTCGAGTGTGAAATATTTCATCGACAAATGGGACGATTTCAAAATAGACATAAATACATCGATTGATTGCGTGCTGAATGTTTTACTAACATTTTCGATTCAAAAAATAAATGTTTTAATTTTAAATGAAGAAAAAAAGGATGAATGGGGGAAAACCGATTGAATGAAAGAAAAGTGAACAAAATTTCTTATATCGATTTTGTGACGTTAAAAATTTTAAATATGCCTATTAACAATAGGCGCTTGATATTCCAGATTAATGTTACTGTTCTAATTTTGTAAACAAGGTCATTAGTATTTGTCCGAAGTCCAGCCCGGGAATGTTTGGAGAAATTCCCAATTTTTTAAATTGAGATTTATTCAACAATCACACCTGGTGACAAAGGTAAGCTTCACATCGGGCGTACCGTAGTAATATCAAAATATTTATAGCCATCGAGAAAGGTTTCTTTTAATGTCTGTATATTTCCGCTGCGTTGAATTCCACTGAACGATCTAATTATTTATTTATCATCTCTACATGATAAACCTAATCTGATTTCAAGAGAAAACAAAATAAAAACAAAAATGACGAAGTCTGCTCAGTTTCCGTGGTTCTAGGTAATTCAGTGTGATTCACATATTTATCAATTACAAGTACGTACCCTGTACCGTTATCTAATTATTTCTACTGGGACATAGACCAATGCTCAAAGATAATGACAATATCTAAACTCGACTAAAGATTTCTTCTCTCTCTCTTTTCCCAAGTGACGCTTGAAATCGAGCACAAAAAAGACAACCGATTGTCGTTCCGTTGATAGTCAGTTTCTGTGGAATCGTTATACGCAACTATGATTCCAGAATCTCTCGTCTGCGATGATCATTTGATTAAGCAGATTTATTGTGTTATACTTAACAAATGAAGGCGATTATCTCCACGTTTATGATAAGGGAATACTACACCGTATTATGTTTAAAATAGGCCTTTCTATTTTGATTCATTTCGTTTTTTTGTTATTCTCTCTCATTGTGACTGATAACAGCTAATGACAGTAGAAATTAAACCGAATTCAAAACCCACACACATATTTTTGAAAATTAACTCGATTATTATTTTTCTTTGTATGTGAAAATAAAATACAATGTTACACGAATGATGAGTGTATGAAAAACAGAAAAAATTCAATTCATTCGAAAATGAAGTGTAATTTAGAAGTATTTCTGCAGTGGTTCGCCTAAAATCGTTTCAAGCTCCTGTACGCTGAGCTGGCATTGTTTTTCCACCTCTGGATTTTCGTCTTCCAACAGCTCCGAAATGAATGGAACAGTTTCGGGTAACAATGGCATGTAATCTTCACCGAGTTTTGCCGCAAGACTTACACCCACTTTCAATGCGAAGAGGCTACAAAAACAAAAACAACAAAGAAAAAAAAACACGTGTTTAGTTTAAAACACTTTGATAAAACTGGTCATAAATTGCTTACCGTATGCGTGACTCGTTGTTTCGTGTCTTCATGAGAATTTGATAGTTCAATTTCTTCCATTGAATGTCGTCGTTAACCACTTGACCGAGCTGCGCTAAGGCCGATGACACCAATTCCATTGACTTTGGCGAATCCAAGACGATTTCATTTTCAATTTGGTCGACCAGCGGCTGAAGAATGGCTTTAAAGCGTGCACCATTTATGAAGCTACGACTGTCATGCAAAAATACTTGATACAATGTTTCCACAACACTATCAATCAACAGTCCAGTTTTCTGATGCAGTGCAGCGCTTTGATTTGTCAATTCCGATGCCAGAGATTTATTCAAAATTTCTGGCACATCGTCGATGAAATCGTTGGCAAATAGTACGAATAGTGTTTTCAAAGACTTGGATATTTCAACGGACAATCGGAAGTAGGTGATGATGTGATCAAGGTCTTTATCACTTTGCTTTATTGCCCAGTCATAGATGCGATAGTACAATGGTCTGAAGCTTCCTTCGGACAACTTCAGTGTCAATGCTCGGAAGGATTTAATGATTTTATTCTCCAATTCGTTCAAAATGGCAAAATCGATGTCGCTGTGATCGAATCGGAATTGAAGTGCGGCGATAAAGAATGATGTTATGTCGGGCATGAATTTTGATATATTACCAGCGGCTTGTTGGTCAAATGTTTGTGATAGCAACAGCATCAATGGGCCAATGGCAATGCTTTGTTCATCATTCACTAATTTCTTGTAACTTTGATTGATGGTTGGAATCAAAACACGCAACTCCAACGTCGTTGATAATTTCTCCCAGATTCCATTCAATCGCTCGACGATTAATGAATCACGTTTCGGATCTTTCGTCAGCTCGGATTCAATGTTGTGCCAGATTTGTGAGAGGCGAACAATCATTTCAACGAGATATGGACTAAGGTATAAGGCCAATGTACCGACAATTTTCAATAGCCCAGCAACTAGGCATATCAGTACATTGTCATTGCTCACATTCTCCGGCTTTGTGAAGCCCTTCAATATTTCCAAGAAAATTTTCATAAAACTTGGCAAGTAGGCAATCGAATGCACTCGAAGATTGGCACAAATTTCACACAAGCACAAAAGTACGGTGGCCAATAGGATACGTGGTACTTTTTCACTCTTTCGCAGCACATCGATGAGTGTTTCAACAATGTGCTTGAAATCCTTTGGATGCTTTTCGGCCAATTGCTTGGACAACATTTTTACAGCCATCAACGCCATTTGCTGTATGCCGGTATTTTCGACGGACGACGCATTCTGCACCAGCTTCTTCTCGTCGATGATTGATTCGATGATCTTGGTAAGCGGCGCTGCAATGAGATAAATAGCATTATTTTTTTTTAAATTTAATGAAACTTTTTTCTTTTTGTGTTTTTTTTTGTCATTTCAAATAGACTCACCCAACAACGAAACCAAGTCCTTTTCATTCTCTTCACTGAATATCTCCGGGTTGCGTTGCAATTTATTAATCAACAATTCGATAACTCTTCGTCTGACGCTCGATAATTTATGCGACAAAAGGCCGTGCACCACAACCAGTAGCACATTCGACGACAGCAGTGAGATGACATTCTCCAAAATGTCGAAGCAATTGTGAAGCATTGCTTTCCAATAATCCGCATGGTTACTTTCGACCATTTGTTCCGTTGCTTTGGATATTATTGGGATATAGGTCAGGATGCTGATAATTGAATCTTGATAGTATTCCTTCATGTCAGTTGCTTCATCATCACTGAGCACGGCTACTTTGTTTACAAACTCAACCGACGAAGTCAGGGCATTGACGAATTTGACAATTTCATACTTGAAGTGACGGAACTGCCTGTTTGTCCATGCATTTATATTAAATAATGCGGACACTTCTGCGGGCACCTTTTCTGAGGCATTGGTTGGCCGGTTAATTGGCAACTTTTGCAAAAAGGCCGTCAATTTTGTGGCTGTCACAATGATTGTTCTGCAACTAAACTCCTTTGTTAGAGCCAATGCAATTTCAATCCGCTGAGGTAATTCAATAGCCAATGTGGAACTCTGACGACTGGTCTTTTCAATCTCCGGTTTGAAGTGAGTAATGTAAGACTCAACCAAAATGGCTAGGAACATCCACAGATAGTTATCGGCATTCAAAGTTTCCAACAGTTTTGTGTAAAGTGGCAAACGACGATGCTCCGGAACATCAAGAATGATATCGGAAAAGACTTTGAGCACAGGCATTACGCGTTCATTGCGTTCAGCTTCTGATTTATGCTCATTCACTCGAGTCAACGTTGGGATAATCGATGATATGATGTTTGTGATTATTTGGAAACTGTAGACGTCATCGTGACGGACCTGAATGCAGAAATGAGGTAAAAAAGAAACGAGGAAAATGTCAAAGTGTTTGAAAAAAGTCAAATGAAAAGTAGAAAAAAATGGAAAAAAATTCACACAATTTTTATAACAAACAAAAGTTGAAAGTTTTCTGTATGAAAACTTCAAATGTGAAAAAATAAAAACATCTCTAAATCAAATTTCCACTCACCACGGACGAGCCCATGAATGTAAAAATATCCATCATATTATGAAGCACTTGCTCGGGCAACATGCGAGCTGAATGCGATAGCAACTGCAATGCATGATGATGTGTTTGTGGGTTTTGAGTGCCTCGAATGCACTGAACAACCGGTTCAATTTTGAAATTCTTCTCCGAAATCGCGTTTCTTTCGACTTTTCCGTCCGGTGCGATGATAACGCACAAATGATGAATGCAAGCAAGTGACAATTGTTTCACATATTCCACATTCGATTGATCCTCAAACTGCAGACACTTTTGTAGAACGGCAAACAGTGATGGAATCATAAGATGTGGATTATTGATGTCTTTTTTGTTTTGTAAGAACTCTAACCAAGTGACACCTCGTTTCCATGACTTCAATTTTAGTAGTTCGGCCGATGCACCGCTGTCACTGGCGCTTTGTGAGTTTCGACGTTGACGTATAGTGGTTGGCATCGTATCCATTTCCATTGCATCGCCACGTTCGGTTTTGGCCATTTCATCCAGAATGCCCACACAAATTTTGGCATTGAGTTGAATTTGTTTGAAGAATTTACTGATATTGGTGTAAAGTCCGGCATTTTCTGCATACGTTGCACTATTCACAAGCGCCGCAATAAATTGCTTTTGATGTGCTTCGGACAGTTCATTGAATAAATCATTGTTGAACACTTCGACGGTGACATTTGTGATCGATGTTTCTTTCGTCTTTCCCTTTAATAGTACACCGTACGATTCGGCCGATTTGAGCAATACCTGCCAAGTGCCCGACACCTTGTTCACAATTTTAATCGTTTGCTGTGTATAACGTGATAAAATATTCCGAACAATAGTGGACTTGAAACAATCCAACGAAAGCACTTTCTTGGCCGATTTGCACATTTCGTCGTGAGCATTGGTTAAGATGTTGGTTGCGGTGCTGGCAATCGATTTGAGGATATCTTCATTGTTCACGTGAGTCAATGCTTCGAGTAATTGAGCCACCAAAAATTCGTTGTCTTTCGTTGTTGCGATAAACTCCATGAATTCCATCAAGTTGTCGTTGAGTTCGCTGGATGATTTTTTATCAAAAATCTTGAACAAAATCAATGGCAGTTGATTGTCATCCATTAGAATTTCACTCTGGCGACGAATAAGCTTCGAAATTAGAGTTTTGTATTTCGATTGATTCGAGGATTTTAAAATGACTAGTGTTTCATAAGCAGCTTCACGTACTTCGCTATTTGGTGAACGAAGGGCGTTCAATATGCGGATGAACGGTTCCAGTGTGAGTTGAACACCTTTAACATCACTCTCTTCGGATTGGAACAACGAATTGAAGTAGTTGATTATGAAAATTTGATGCTTGATGGAAATGGAGCTTGGTATTCCCACTCTTGGTTCCGGGTACAATACGTCGATTGTGAAATAATTCGACAAGAACTCGATGCGTTTTTGTGGTTCGACCAACAATTGTCCAAAGAAAAACGTCAAACCCTCACCAAACAAAGCGTATTTCGATTGACTGCGACTCATTTTCGAAACGAAATACTCAAAGATGCGGCGCAAAACAAACAAAATATTGATGGGCTCGTTGAATTCAATGGATTTATTCTTGAATTCGTCTTTTTTAACAAATTCTACCAATGAATTGATGACATTATTGGCAATCGCAATATGAATATTCAACGGATAAATGCCTCTGGCAACCAAACTGGTCCATTTCGAACTATCCGATGTACTGCCTGTTTTGAATTGTTTCTCGAATCGTTCGATTACATTGAAAATATCGTTGCATTCGGCCAAATGTTGTTTCTCTGTCAATCTCGAATATTTATATGAATACGAATGGTAGAGCAAAAACATGGAATAAAATCCTTTATTCAATGTGAGGTCTTCGTCACCAATTGTCTTGATGAAATTCAGTACTGCTCTCGTGGCTGGCATACCTTTCTTCGACTCAAACACCGACACAATTTCTGCCATCATCGCTTCTTTATCATCACCAGTGCCTGCCGTTGCATTTTTACACTCTTTGATCAAATCCATGCGTTTGACGAAATTCGAGTTGAACACTTTACGCAAAAAATCGGCGCTAAGTTCAGATGGTTGCAGAATTAATGGCAAAATTGCGACTAAAATTTCAATCGGAAAACTCTTTAAGTACAATTCACACAAACGTTTAACGGCTTCCAAAGCGGTGCTCTCCCAAGCCTTTGGATTTTTCAATGTTTGCTCCAAAATATTCACATATTTCTTCAGCAACTCCGACTTGGTCATGAATCGTAGCAAGGCTGTACTATCGAATTTAAGCGCCTCTTTTACTACCAACGGTGAATCATCGCTGAGCCGTTCAGCAATGCTGCCCTTTAGCAAACTCTTGCTATCGTCGGAGAAACTCATTTTGCTCAAGTTTTTCACCAAATACTTAATGGCTTCAACGCGCTGCTGAGCGTTGTAATGGTATAGCTTTTCGAATAGATTCACATTGTCATCGGCACAAACGATTGTAAATAAGAAACTCAACACTTTCTTCAGCGAACGCTTTTTTAGTTCACTCATGGATTTGTTATCCGATCGAACGATCTCCTTTACAATCGCATCGAAAGTGTTTGGATAACGACGCTCAAGCGCTTTTAGAGTGTTCGTATACCATTTGGTGATTCCCTTGTCAGTCGCTTCCATTTCTTCATCTTCATTGCCCGATTCGATTTCGATGATGGAATCGTCGATTTTCTCCGTTAAGATGAACGAGTCCAAAGTGCAACTAAAAAGGGAATTGTATTTTTTTACTCAACGAAATGATTTATTTTGAATGAAAAAAAAGGAAATTGACGTTGATTCCTTACCGAATGACTCTTTCAGCATGCTCGGCCTTGAAGAAAATCTCCGAAAGCAGTGAATCACAGAATTTGCGGCATTTCTTCCAGCTGCCGACCTTCAGTTGAATGTGCTTGAGACAGGCGGACAAAAGTGGCAAATAAAATGGTAAAATATTGACGTCTTCGCTGTAAATCTTTGACAAAACCGGAGGCAACCACTTGATGTTCACTAGCAATTTGGTTAAGCATTCTTCCGAAATGTCATCGATGGTTTCGTTTTGATTGCGATAGATGAGCACCAGCAAAATGATCACATCTTGTTGTAATTTGGCGTGTTGCACTTTTTCCAACAGCATATTAACGAGTGCATCCAGAATATCGCGCTTTAATTTGACTTTATTCACCAATTGACCGATGATCATGAGTGATGCGGCACAAAAATCGATCGACGTTGACTTGACTCCCTTTCGAATGGCTCTATAAATGTTGGTAATGTGGGACTCGTTGATTTTGGCAATGTCCAATGCACCAATGACGGATGTACAGAAGAATGCATAGTAAACTTGAAGCGTATGTGACCGTACTCCAAGTTCGTTTACAGCGTAAACAATTGCCTCGCAAACGAATGACATGAGGAAACTGTCGCTAGCCACACGATTTAGCAGCGCTTGTTTTGACAATGGAACACCATTTTTTTTCACCGGTTCCAACCAATGCCACAAATCACTTGGATCGCTTAAATTCATCGTTTGCAGGCACTTCACGAAGATGGTCGTTTCGTGATACGGTAAAATCAGCATCATAAACTCACTCTTTTCATATTCATTGATGTTGAACCGACGAATCAACCATTCCAAGCATTTGTGTGACGGTTGCAACAGCAAATACGGCGATAAATGGATGAGAAACTTTTTGATAACCTCTTTCAATTGCCGGTTCACCTCTTTGTGTTCGATGGCTCGCTGCATTTCACGCGCATTTTTGTCGAACAATGCCGATTCAAATTGCAAAAATGATGGGTTCAATTTGATTAAATCTTCAAAACCACTGTATCCAATGTCAAAAATGGTTTCACGATCCTTTTCGGCCGCCTCTTTTGGACTGAACAAAATTGAAGCACGCTTCTTACTATCGGTCAATAACGTTGATTGAGGTGTCTTCAACCGACGCAATTGATCCGCTAAAGATGTTGAAATCTTCGACATTTTTATCGTTGCTTTTTATTTCATCAAATTCACTTGAAAAATAATCGATTTTTTACTTTTTTCAAACTTAATTTCAGTAGTAAACAACATGCGGTCAAAATACACGTCTGAATGGTATGCACGTGTTTTTTTTTTGTTCGAAGTAAGTTTGACAGAATAAATTGCGATGACATTTCAACAGATTGAATTTGTGTTCCAAGTTTAGTACATTGGGAAAGCTATGACTACTCCCGACAGATGGCACTTGGGGCGCTGTGTGTGTAAACAGTCATTACATTGATTTTTCAAACAGATTGAATTTCTAATGCATAATTTAGAGGTAATCTTGAGTGATTTTTAAATTAGTATTTTTCCATATAAAATTTCTCTGTGGATTACCTGTCGATTATGCTCACAAAATATAAATAAAAACCCATTCTAAATGTGTGTATAAGAGTACATTATCGAAAAAAGCTGACACTGAAATTTATTCAGGCGCTCTCCATTCAGCTCCATTGAATAGCTAAACATGAATGAAAGCATTTAATCAGTTATTTTTGAGTAGCGTGTGTTCAATGTTTATTGACCGAGGAAAAAACTTTTGATTAAGAAAATACCGTTTCTTAATCATTAAGAATTTTTAATTTGGATGACAAAATGATCATAATTTGCACCAAAATTTATTCAACTACATTTGAATTTGAAAAATTAAATTCTGTATGACTTTTACAGACATTTTTGCAAATTCATTTAAAAAAAAATGAAATTGCTCCAGATTTGTGTTCCTAATGAGATGAATGTTTTATTCATCGGCGTCGCTACCAACTTAATGAAGTGTCACCAACATGAAAGTGAATTTTTTTTCCATTGATTCTGTGGGCTGTTTTGAGATTGATATTGTGAAAAAAAATCATACGCCGAAGCGGACAAATTGTGAGACGATACGCAGAAAAAACTGATTTCATCAGCAGGAAAAAAACATTTGACGGTCGTTAGTGTTAATTATTTTTTTATTTATTTGATGTTAGGATTAGATTTGGGTGATTCTATCGTAATTGTGTGAAATTAAATGAATATTCATGAAAATTGACGACAAATAACTTAACCCTCTAATGCATTAATTTTTCCTAGGGCTGGGAGTACTGGTACTGGGTTGATTTTTGGCCATAGATAATTAGAAAAATATTCATAATCCTGGATTCCTCATAGTTTAGTCAGGAAATGCGATTGACATAAATCAGAGAACAATCAAATCCATTGTTTAAAAGTGTCAAAAATGTGTCTAATTTGGAGTTCGAATAATTTATTTTGTCAAATTTCTGTTCTTGCACACATTTTTGTTTATAACTTTACAATCACACTACATAGACAAAAATTGCCAAAGACAAAAATAAAGAGAGAACATTGACGAATAAAAATTCTCTTTGAAGCAATGTGATTCGATGCAAGGTTTACGTTTCACAGGCGTTCAAATGTTGCCCGTTTAGAGGCGGTTGTATGCATTATAGGTTTAGAGACAAGTGTATGCGTAGTGTGCACATTTTGTGTGTAGTTTTATTCGACACACAGACACGCCGAACATGTGCTGTACACCGGACTGGCTATGAACATCAGAGAACGGCCATCAGCAGCCCGTGGTAGAATATTTTTGTCTTTTTTTCGATTGTTTGTTGGAATTTTCTGTGAAAAAAATATTTTTCGGTTAGGAACAATGAATCAACGTTCCAAATAAAAGACAACCACAAAAATATTCTACAAATAAATGGTTCGTAGACGGGTTCGGGTTTGACAAAAATGGTCGACGCTGCAAGCGCAAGCCAAAACAGCCTCCGATCGAAGTTAAGGAAGAGCCGACTTCTAAGGAAGAACCGAACAGTGATGATAATATCGATACCGTATCACGTCGAGTTGAGGGAAGATACGATGCGTTCGACTTTGAGTTTGACTTCGATGGGATAAAGAATGAAATCAAATGCGATGAAGATGAGGTGGGCAAAGAAAAGGACTCGGAACCAGGTGAACGACCGAATGAAAGTGCGGAGGATAAAAACGGTTTGGCTGGCGCAATCAATGCTCAACCATCCAAACCAGTCAACAGTGGAAAGAAACGGAATGGAGGCTCCAAAAAGGAAAACAAACGAGCCATCTCCAGGAATCAAGCGGCTAAAAAAACAAAAGAAGCACAAATGTCATGTGTGCAATCATTTGGCAGATCAAAAGTCTCATCTCATAGCAAACTTGCGAATTCACACTGGAGAGAAGCCGTATCAGTGTGATGTTTGTTTCAGATTCAAAGTGGCGCATGGTACACTATGGTCATCCATTTTTTTCGATTCTTTGTTTTACTTGCTTGATTCATGGCTTTCATCATCATCTTGAAACTCATAACTTGCATTGATTATTCATCACTGAAAAACAGGTGTGATGTCACCATTCACCTACAATCTCATTATTGAAATACGTTACATATCGAAGCGAAACAAACTTAAGTTAACCAAATTTCTATGGATGAGATTCAGAACAGTTTATGTTTTTTTGACTATTTTTATTTTGATAAAGTAGAGTATGTTTCACTCGTAGTTTTCGGCGATTTTAATTTTTACTGACAAAAAATATCGAATTAGTGTCTCCTCGAAAATTTTTGCTCTTATCAAACTGTACAACTTTTCAAAAAACAATTCCGCGCGAAAAAATTACATCAAGTCTTGATTGGAATGGATGCATTTAGTATTATGGTATCTGGCGTTACTGTGCCCATTGACACATTACTAGCGATTCTCGAGATTTGCATAACGCTTGAGAACATACTATAGTTTTTCCAATAAAAAGTCTGTGAAACATACACCACTCTCAATCTCACCCATAGATTTGGTTAATCGAAGAAAACGACATACTTGCCATATTGTCAGAACAAAGAGCGACAATAAATGGTTTTGAAACATAAACTCAAGATTCCTTATTCATCATAACTCGCTAACAGTTAGTGATAATATCGTCGTAGGAAGTGATGTGTTTTAACATTTGCAAAGTCTCTTTTCGTAATTGGCGTTAATTTTTCGTGAATTGTTAAGCTGTAGCACTTTGTATGCGAAAAGTGTTGATATGGTGAACAAAATTTTGTTTCGGTTTGACATTCCACTTTTCTGAGTTCGATAACCAAGCTCTTATTAAGTTTTTTTCATTCGGCATCTCTTTACATGTGCTATAAAACATCTAAATATCATTCTGCATGATTCTGTCAATATTTCTCTGACAAATAGAAATCATTGTCCTGTTGAACACCGTCAAGTTAGAGGTTTCAACCATAGGTGTAACGAATAAATAATAAGTAATAAAAGATTTTATTACTTATTCGTTTTATGTCATTATTCATTTATTCGTTATTCGTTCTTACTCGCGAATAAGAACGAATAATTATTCATTTATTCATGCAAGAAACGAATAAGAAATGTAATAAAAATTGAATAATATATGAAACGAATAAGAAGTGAATAAGAAACGAATAAGAAGTGAATAAGAAACGAATAAGAAAACGAATGAAAATTGAAAAAGAAGTTGTAAGAAGTAATAACTATTACAACTTATTCACGAATAAATGAATAATTATTCGTTCTTATTCGCGAATAAGAACGAATAACGAATAAATGAATAAATATGACAAAAGTAATAAGTGAATAAAAAAACGAATAATTATTACAAAAATTAACACCTATGGTTTCAACACATTCATTCTTAGTTTTGCATCGAAATGTCAAAAATTCGTTCACCCCATCTGATTCTAACCATTCGTATTACATCTCACCACTTCCGTTTTTCCTTCACAATGATATCGAAGTGAGTGCGAATTTCTAAATTTCCATATCAGATTTGAAGTGATTGTAATGCTGCTGTGAAAACCAAATCTCTTTGGAGAATATAAAGCCGTGGCTTTGTGTGTATCATATGAATATCGGAAATTTTGATTTCTAAACATAACCGACTCAATGTGAGGCGGCAGCAATCCAGGATATTATTCCAATGTTCAAATCAAATGGTATCTCGAATGGTTTTTAGTGGTAAAGCAAAACAATAGCTAAAGGAGATGTGGTGTGTAGCAGTTCACCATGGTAATGGTGTCGGAACAGCGCTGGCATGAAGTCAAAATCCAGTGAAACGAATACATGCTGCAATTCGATAATCAAAACAAAAATCCGCGCTTAATGCTATGGAGATTCAGTACATAAAGCAAAATCGGGACGGTGTACGAATCAAGCTAAAAGCATAAAAAAAACTGGAATATCATTTAGATTTTATTGAATTTGACGGTATACATTTCGCTTGAAGTTTTCGTTTCTCGTTGAATGGAAAGAGTTTTATTTCATCACTAACGTGAATCAGTTGCGCAGAGATTTCAACGGGGAAAAAATCATCACAGAGAAATGATATATTTTAACCATTCATACGTATTTTTTTCCCTGCTCACTCTTAAGTAATGAATTTGTAACTTTAGCAGCAAATTAAAGTGGCAAAAGTTGTGTTGTCTGTTTCACGAAAATCAACTTAACACTTATTAGCCCATTTGAGTCGGAATTCCGAGCGGAGAGGAAAAGTTTTTCTTGAGTTTATTACAAGTACAAAGCAGAGAGATGAAAAATCGCTTGTGTCTTAAGTCAACATATAATGTGGATTAAGATGTAAATTTCCCAGTCGATTTGCCAAACGAAACAGAGAAGTTCTGGCTCAAGAAGCAGTAACAGCAACAAACATGTTTACGGCTGTTTTTGTCTCATTGCTGTGCGAAAGAAAATGGAAAAAGTGTTTTCTTTTCGTGTGCCGTGTTCCTTATTTTTGGTGCTTGGTGAAAGTTTTGTCATTTATGCGCTTTTCATTGCTTACAAATTGTGCATAACATCTTTATCATCCATCCTTGGGAATGGTACAAAGCAGCAAGGAAGGATGAGTGTACTTTGACTACAATAACAACGCAATTACGAGGATAATTTCATTTCAAAAAATTATTACGAATGTTTTGGAAGTTTTTGTTAGTCTTTTTTTGGAAAAGTTGAGCAGGAGAAAATGTGCGTGGTTTCATGTCACTCTCGTTTCGTTACTAATTGCTCGACATAAAACACTCGGTCCAACTACAGAGAAACGGGCGTTGCATAAACTCAAAAGGCGCAAAAGATAAAAAGACTGAGTGTGAGTGAGGA